GAATGCTGGTTCAACATTTACACCAATGTTGTTCTTTTTTTAGATTTTTCTGACCACTTTAAGCACAGTTTTTGCTGTATAAATACATTACAATCTCCAAATCTGCCTTTTAAACAACATCTAATCATTTCAGCAGGGCCTGAAGCACAAGCTGATCATTGAGAAGCTACACGCATTATCTGTTTGTATGAGTAATAAATAATATAAACTCATATAGAGCTAGTTTTGTGGCCCATGTCCTCTAGTTTCAAACCACACACAGTTTCTAAATTTAATACCAGAGGTAATTTTCTAAAACCTGATCAGAAATTTCCTAATTCATTTGCACTCAAATCTGTGACTAAATGCCGTGTTTGTGGCAGGGCTCAACTGCAGAAACACAAAACCAGTTTTAAAACATGAACTGAAGCTCGTGTTTGGCTCTTTCTTCAAATAATCATGCTGTTGTTTCTGGAGCGACGGCCTTCATCACATCATGTGACCAAAGCAGAGAGGCCACGAGCTGCAGAGAGATGACCTCAGACTAATCAGCTACAGAAACACAACGGCTCAGGAAGCTGCCCCAATTCAAGACAAAAAAAACAAAAAAACAACAACAACAGGAAACTAACAGTTCTTTTCTGTACCTTCATTTGCCTTGTCTTTGTCTTCGTGGTGTTCGAGGAAGAGGAGCTCACAAGCTCAGTGTTTTCTGGTGAACATTGTCGTCTAGTCTTTAAATACGAAGAAAACAAAACAAAAGAAAACATTACAGAATCAATCAAATCTTTCTCAATTTTTCCCACAAATTCTAACTTAAAAAATTCAACATCTCCAAAAACAATTACCTAAAAAAAATCTTATAACGGTTATGGTATTAGCTGTGCTTGTTGTAAACATATTAATAAGGCTAACGTTTCCTCCTGCTGAGGGACTTTAAAGATTATGTCGTAAATGCCAGTCATCTGACTCTGATAACATCATTAAGCTCACAGAAACCATCTCAGACTCCCACTGAACTGAACTGGCTTTGGGATGTAGGGAAAAAAAAGAAAGAAAAATCCAAACATGTCCATGTCCTGTTAGTCACATCATCCAGGTCACATGTCAGGTATTTAAAAACATGGACCGGGTCAGAGAATTTCAAAGGTCAATGAAAATCATCCAGGGCTTAAACAACAAAGCTGCTTCACTCTGCAGGCAGGCTGACACATGAGGTACGAGTTAGTTACACACAACTCTACAAATACGTACCTGTATTTCTGGAAGTGATGTGTTTGCATCGAGATGGCAGGATGACTTCGTTGTGTCTGCATCTGCTAAGTTAGACTTCTTAGACTATACGGAGCAAAAAGAGGACAGAAACATTTCACAGAGGAACAAAACAGCAACATATATTAAATAATACAGACTAACATGAACATTTATATACATTTTCCTTTTCCTTTAAACCTGAGATCCTCTAACACTGTGGGTTAAAATAGATTTAACATTAAAACACATAAACAAACACTGCTGCACACATCCTCCAGCAGTCACTGTTTATACGTATGACTGTGAGCTCAGACTGCAGAGCCTGTTTTATGTTCCAAGGCGTTATGAGGATGTTCAGCAGCGCAGGTCATGGATCTGTGTGTTCAGGTGTTGGTATGTGGGTGTAAAGGGGTTTTTTATTTGATATTTTTTTAGACTTACAAGATGTGGGTCAGTGGAGTCTCAGCGCTTCTATGAATATTCACAACATGGCCCAGAAAAAGTACAATGTGAGGAGCAGGACTATGGATTTCCAGAAAGTGTGTGATCCCTTTAAATATCCCTTTAGGACCAAGATGTGAATTGATCAAATTCACAATTAAAGGTTAGTTTTATGGTCAGATATATACCTGTGAGGTTAATTCTAGGGTAAATGGTCAGGTTTAGGATATAAAATGACCAGAAAATGAATGGAAGTCAATCCACGGTCTCCACAGGGATATAAAAACAAACGTGTGTGTGTGTGGTGAACACAGTGTCACACGGCTGACAAATGCTACATTTGATGTTACTGGAAAAAGTTTAAAAAAAAAGTCAGAACCAGAAGAGCTCAGACCTCAGACATGGGGCCTAATGATCAGATGAGTGATGTCATGTTTTATTCAATCAATGAATATTAAGGTGAGAAATACCACTGTAAAAGTGGAAAAGCAGAGAAATGTTTGGAATGTTGCTAGATTCTAATATAGATTGATAAAAGATGGGGGAGGGGGGTGAAGATTTTGCCTGTGTTTTCATATAATTGTCTTTTACCAAAATATCTCTTGAATTACTTCTAGGATTTTATTGCAGAAAGCAATCATTGGTTTAGATTTGTTCTAACAACTGGTTCAATCTGTTGGCAAATCTAAATCAGCCAAACTAACACAGTTAGTTCACACAAGGGATTTCTTCAAATGTGGATTGCCATTACAAATTCAAAAACCAAGAACTTCGTTTTGTTTTTGCCCCAACTGGACATGACTCACCGTTTTTCCTCAGCTCTTAAACTCTTTTTAAAAACGATGCAAGAAGTCAGACTAAATCCCTTGTTTTCTTTTCATAAACGCCGCATCCTAAACCAGAATCTATTCGAGCCTCTCCACGGCTGATACCACTGCTGTAGGTAGAAACGCACGCAGCAACAAGACGATACCAGGAAAACCAACAGAGCGGGGAAACCAGGAAATCAATATGAGACATCATTCTTTAGAGCAGCAAATAGAAACCAGCAACAACAGAGACAAACCTGCTCCCTGTGGAGAAACTGTTCCTGCAATGCTGTGATGGAAGATTGATATTATTATTCATTTTAGCTCCAAGTTATATAAGCCTTAAGTTATTAACCATCTTTCCTTCAGATGGATGGATAAAGAGAAGATCTTCATGTTTAAACTGCGTGGTCATAACAAGTGACTCGCAGCGATCTCAGCAGCTGGTCCTGGTCATCACGTTAAAACTATCTAAACATCAACGTTTGGCGCCGGCGCTTGCAAACAGCACCTTGACGGTTATGAGCCTCGGCCGTCCCTCCGGATCAGCGTCTGTCTCAAAGATGCGGCTGTAGTTCTGGATGAGTTTGCTCATGATCTTGTTGCAGATACTTTGATCCGTCACTGCTTGACAGCCAGGAGCTGTAACGCTGCAAAAAATTATAATAAAAAAAAAACATGACATTTGTTTGAACTGTTTACAGTGATGAGGTAGGAATCAAGCTGAGACTGTGCTGAACTGGAACTGGGATAATTAAATGAAAGGGTATCTCCATCTGCTCGTCTACCCTCCTATCAGCAGCAGGTCCGATGTTACTGAACAGCTGTGTGAGATGAACACTCAGCGGGCCTTACTGTAAGTCTAATTATATAATCTTTTCATATGCAGAGCCTACAGAGTGAAGGACAGGTTATACAGTATGAAAGGCCTCCTTCCAGAGAGACCCGATTGTGTTTCAATTTGCAGCTCCCAGCTGGAGCAAACCAGTTTACAACTGGATGCATCCACCAGTAACCAGCCTGCAGAACAGCACAGCTGCAGGTGGAAGGATATACTGTAGGTGGGATTTAAACCTAACAAAAACAGAAAAGAAGAGAACGGAAATAGATACTGGACAGAGGCATATCACTGCGTTGTTTGAACATGTAAAAACACAAGATTGATGCTATTTTTTTTTTTATTTAGTCTTCACTTAACATAAACTCCCATCTGGTGCTAATCCAGGATTTATTGTAATGCTTTAAATTTAAGAGTCAGACTGGAAAGAAATCAATTCATGGGACAAAAAATAAACAAAATAAAATTCCTCTTGAATTCTTGAGTTGTTCTGACTTAATCCAGTGTCCAATCTTGGTCCTCGAGGACCACTGTCCTGCATTTTGACTTGTTTCCCTGCTTCAACACACCTGATTCAGTGATTAAATGACCTCTTCAAGTCCTTCAGAAGCCTTTTCATAACAGAGTCATTCGAAACCTCTAAAACATGCAGGATAGTGGCCCTCAAGGATCAGGATTGGATACATGACCTAATGCTTTCATTGAAACGATGTCTAAGAACTACAGCGCCATCTGGTGGCCAAATGTTTTGACAAACCCCACAGATGTCTGAGGTGCTTCTAACAAACCTGTTTGTATCTTACTGTACAGATTGAATAAATGAAACTGATGTTTCATGTCTTTCAGAAAAGCTGAAAGAAATTTTAACGCTCTACTACTGATAAATTATCCATGAATGGTTATTGTGAAATTACAATAAAGATGTTAAATGTGCCAAACTTTAAAAATGACTGGCCCTATCAATCCTTAAAGAAATTTCACATTTCACGCTTTGCAATAAAATAATTTTACCTTTGAGAAACGACAGAGTAAACGTTCCCAAAAACAAGAAATCCCAGTGTGTTTAAAGCCGAACTTGAATTGTTCTGAACTCACTGAAAGACACTGGGTCCGAACACGGTGGCCAAGTTGAGCGCAGTCATGCGGTTTTCTTCGTGGTTTCTCTCCACGAGCGTCAGGAAGTGGCAGAGGTAACGCAGGAGGCTGTGGTGAACATCTGGCAACTGCTGGAGCAGATCTCTCAGAACCGACCAGGAACCATCATCTCCACATTCTGCAGAAAGAGAGAGAGAGAGAGAAAGAGAGAAAATAAAGGGATGCCACACTTTGGTTTTGTGTTTTGTTTGCACACTGTGTGACATTTGTAACCAGAAAACAGATGCAAAATTCTACCTGAATACATTTCTTTGTTTTGTTTTGCAACATTTTCATCTTACTCACATCTGTTCAGCATAAATTAGGTGACAAGAAATAAAATCAGTTCTAGAGTTTTATGTATTGAGACATTAAAAAATGAGGTTTAAGCGTTCAAAACCCTGACAAATTCCACTATGTCTTTATTTATTAAACAAAAATAAAGCCAAACTGGAAAAGCTATGAGTGAAGAACAAATTACTTCATTTCTGCTGCCAAAAGACTGAGGAATCTGGCAAAGACTGGATTGTGTCCCGATACGTAAAACACTACAGTTAAAAAAGGGTGACCTTCTTTTTCCAATTACTTTGCACTGAAATTGACAAGAACAATTTGACTTACTGTAAAACAGTTAAAAAATGTATAAATTCAAAATAAGTAATAAATTGCGGCCCATAAAGCAGTGATCTTGAGTTAATCTGACTCAGAATACAGTAACACTGAACAAAGAAGCTGGAAATATGTTGATGCTTTTAGTTGGGATAATTAACTGGGCCAGAGTTGGATAAACAGATATGACTGCTGATCCTGACTGAGTGACCTAAATGTTGTGAAGAGAAGGCGTGCCTTCATCACATGAGTGTAAATAAGTTTTACAGCTGAGTGGAGTCAAATTCTGTTCAAATTTGTGCAAATATTGTGTGTAGGCTATATTCCATTTTTGCAATCAAAAGTTAGATGTTAGAGCATAAAATTAAATAAATTAAATAAATAAAATAAAAAAAAATCATTACTAAAATTCTATTTTAGTAATTATTTTATTGATAGTAATGATTTTGATTATACTATTACTTAAATACCCATATTATAATGTTTTTAAGGAGTCCCTACTGATATAAAAAAATGCCACCAAAGTAGTTTTTTTCAGACCTTTAATTAAATGTTTTTTCTAATGCAGTTGTTGGACCACAGCCCTGAAACAGGAGGCAGATATTTATAGGAACTGTAAAAACTGAAGCCAAACAGTTCACTCCTCTGTCCCAAAACACACAGTGAAGAAGACTGAACGTGTGTGCAAACACTTCAACCTGCCAAATGACTCATTCTATGGTTCAGACCTGCCAATATCATCACCAGGAGGATGAGGTACAAAACCAGTTCCTTCATCTGCTCTGCCTCATGGAGACGACTGCACTGCTGGGAGTGAAGTTCAGCTCCATGAGCCAGTTGGAACCATGACCCAGATGTTTCACTAACATTGTGTGGCTGCAAATGTGTAAGAGTTGGATGATTCTTGCAGAGAAATCTGTAAACTAAACAAATCAGATAAAAGGTAGGAGCCCAGGTCTGTGTTTTTTTTATTTTATTTATAATTTTACCTTCATAGTGTCGTATTAGCTGCTGCTGCACTGTTGAGTCCACCAGGCCTCCAGGCAGCTCTCTGAGGTAGCATTTGAGCAAACTGGCCACAGTGCACAGGTCGGATTCAGTCAGCAAGTCCACACTGTCGCCCTTCTCCAGACGCAGTTTCAACGTCTCCACCTCACGAGCGTTCCCGTTTACTCTGAACAGACCCTCTTGATGCAGAGCTGCAGGAAAGACACACAGATGCTATTTAGTTACAAGCAACGCAGGTGGGACTACAAGCTGCACCTTCAGTTATTCAGTAAGACTGATTAGTCGTGATAAACCATATCCTTACGAGTGATGTTGCCATTTTACTATCACAGCAATAAATGAAACAGCAATAAAATTTGAATATTTTTCTGTTAAAGGTGTTCTTTCTTGCTAAAACTAAAGATGAGTAAATAAAAAAACAGATTTTTACTTTCCAAGAGTATCTCTCTTAGGTAAAGTTGTTACACTGTTCAGAGTTTTCATGCAAACTGAACATTTCTTGCTTTGCATTTTGGTCTTTGCAGGGTTTTTACAAAAAGTGCAGTTTGTGATCAAAACTTCTTACTTTAATGTGCATTCAGTTTTTTAGAGGAAAACCTATTTTATAAATCAGATAACAAAAAAATGTCCAGATTTAGAAGTACTGAGTTTTTTGTACATTTAGTTTTGTTCTATACAGTTTAAAAAGATGTTTGTCATTTAACAAAGATAGGTATTTGAAACTATAAACTACTCTAAACAAACACTGACAAGTGATATCCCTTGAAGTTCAGATGATGCTGAGGATATGTTTACTGGATAAAATACATGATGAACATAGAACTGTAAGAAAATATTAACCCTGAAAACCTAATAGTGAATCACCTAATTATACTGCGTGGTACTGACATCTAGTGGTCAAATAGCAACACTACAGGAAGTAAAGGGGGTCAATAGCTCAGTGGACTAAAAATATTTTTATTTTAACCAAATTAAACAGTGGACATCTAAAAAAATTTTTTTATGTATCACCAAGACTGAAATATTTTAAAAAATGGAATGTTTATGATTTCTGCTTTTTTTTTTGTTGTTTTGAAATATTTTTTGAACCTATAAAAAAACACTGAAATTTATTTTGTTTACTGTTCTTTAACCAGGCAAGTCCCGTCGAGATCTCAGATCTCTTTTTCAAGGGAGGCCTGGGCCTAAAGGCAACCTATTGTACATGTTTTTGTGTTGTGGGGGAAACTGGAGTACCCGGAGAAAACCCACTCAAGCACGAGGAGAACATAAAAACTACGCACAGAAAGACCCCAGGTCCGAACCGGGGATCAAACCCAGGACCTTCTTGCTGTGAGGCATCCATGCTAACCACTGAGCCATTGTGCTGCCCCCTTTTCTGTTTCATTTGCGAAACAGGAAGCAAAATGCCTGCAGTGCATTACCTTAGATTAAATATTTATGCAATAACAAAAGGTAAAACTAGAGCTGATATGGTTTCTGAGTTTTGTTTTTATATGTTTTTTTAGTATTAATCAGCACAGTTTTTTTTCTAATTCTGTTGGAATTTGTCTCCGTTTTCTTTTTAGCTTTAAGTCAAGCTCTGGCTTCCTCTGTTCAACGGTTATTTCCAATAGAAATAAACAATACAGCTCAGGGCTCATTGGGTATATATCGAGTTAGTAACATGTATATTTACCAGGCCAGGTTTGTCCCATGCAAGTACCATGTAAATACCTGGTATGTCTATAAATCTATAAATATTGAGCTGTATTATATGCTATTGGCATATTTCCCTCTTTTATGTTTTAATTTGCAAACCCAGCGTTGCTTACATGTAGTTTCTCCAGTTTTTAGTTCCCTGTTTAGTTTTACTCGCATAGATCACCGAATGAAACATAGTTACATAAACCCAGGAGGGAGTTGATTGGTTTTCATGTGAAAATTTGCTTATAGCAACAAAACAAAATAAAAAACACAAACTTTACAATTCTGCTGAATATATGCTGTACAGAACAAACTATGCAAACTATTGTTCATCATCTTTTTTTTCGCTTTACCATGCAAGCGAAGATGCTCCACCATCCTCCGCAGCACATGAGGCACCCCATCCTCCAGCAGGCCCTGCTCATGGAGCTCAAACAAGGACGCTCCAAAAAGCCTGGTGTGTCCGGCTGCCACGGCTCTGGATCTCAGGATGGGGATCTGCACCATCTTCTTCATGTCCTCTCGGACCTGCACGGCTGTCGTGCTGTGCTGCACAGAGAACAGGGAGCAGCAATGAGGCCTGCTTCAGGTCGGTGCGACACCTCCTGCACCTGCACTGTCACGCTCCGAGGACAGCTTGTGCTGAGAGTTGGAGGAAAGGGGAAGGGCTGACAGCTTGTGTTGCTAAGACAAATTTCAGGTTACCAGGTAACACCTTTGGTTAAAGGCAAGGACACACACACACCTCTACACATGGACATCTGGTGAGAGCTTACACTTCTTGAAGTAAAATTATGAGACATTATTTAAAGGTAATTAAAAAGGAGAAATTCTATTTTTGTTAATTATTTTAATATTATAATTTTTTGTGGTGTAACAAGCATTAAAACTTATTTGAACTAGTTAATAAACTGTAGAGTAATTTGCTATGTCACAAACTTTAAACCTAAACCTTTTCATTCAACGTCAGCCTCAAAAGGGTCTCCCTTTCAAAATAGTGGCATAGAGTAGAACAGGGCTATTCAACTAAATTGCTCTGGGGGCCACAGTTACTGCAGGCCGACAGCTGAGGGGCCGAACATCCAGCAATTAATGTTATTATGTAAATAAACCAAGTATTACAAAGATCTGTTACCTTTGAAATAGTTTATTTTTGCTGTATTTAATCATGAATACAACATACAGAACCCTATAAAAGTAGTGATAATAAAATTATATCTAAAAGAACACACTCTGCCTCATTTTTAACACAAATAATATTTTGACATCTCAGACTTGCCAAATTTTTAAACCAATTTTATTTTCAATTTCATAGTTTTACCTTCAACTGCTTGTAGTTTTAACTGTCTTGGGTGTTTATAGAAATGGCTTTTACCAGCTTGTAGCCACAATTCTGATGTTTCTGTAGACACCAAACATGTCTATGTTTAACTAAAAGAACTTATATTAATTAAAGTAGAAAACTGGGGGTTTGGGCTTAAGAAATGAATGAACCACTTGGCAGGCCGAACTTTGGTCACTCACAGGCCGGATGTGGCCCGCGGGCCACCAGTTGAATAGACCTGGAGTAGAATATCTCAAATAGTTTATATTTGAAAATGATTAAAAATATTTACTATGGTAAACTGTGAAGCACAGCACATAAAACGTGTAATAATTTACTCCGTCTAACATATGAAAGCAAACAGCATCTCGTCATAAAAACTCCCAAATTGAACATCTTCTGTCAGAGTAAACACACAAGTTCTCCACAAACATCACCCCCTTTTAGTCATAGGGGGAAAAATGCACATTAAACTGCAGAATAATGCTTATCTGTCTGTTTATTTAGTGCAAGTATCAAGATTCTGATCAGCTCGACAAAGAGACGCAGGTTTCAGCGCCTGCAGGAAGGAGGAAACGACTTCCTGCACTTCCAGTAACTGCAGACTGGGGAGTTTTACCTTTGGTAGCCATCGCAACTTTACCACGCGACACGCTGCCAGTCCATGGTTCATCACTTCAAACAAGTAGACTGACTAAATGATGAAACATTCTGGCAACATTTTAGTCTGTAATGAGTCTCCCTGTTCTTGAACAAGCTGGCAGAAGCTTCTTTTCTTTTGTTCCTCGGTGGGTTCGGTCGTGTGATGTCAGCTGGTTCAAACCCACCTAACAGATGGCACTGATGGCTTAAAGAGCCATAGTCTTTACCTTAGTGCTCCCACACTGTTAACACAGGGTTGTATTCAGAACACACGAACGCTTCTGCACAAAGGATAACGTGCACTAAAGGCGGCACAGCGGGGGGCAGGGGTTAGGGCTGTCGCCTTTGTGCAAAAAGGTTGCAGGTTTGCCTCCAGGCTTTAGGACTTCCTGGGAGTTTTTGCATGCTCTCCTGTGCCACAGACTAAAAGCATTCATGTTAGGTTAATTGGTAACTCTAAATTCAGAATCCGAATATCTTTATTGCCATTGTAACACAATGAAATGAAGAGTTCCCTAGTTTGTTCCCCTGTGTTGTCTGGATTTAAAAAGGCAAATAAAAGAAATGTGTAAAAATATTTACAAGATAGACTAAAATAAAGGAAAAGTCATGGGGCACTACACACTTTTAAGGGGTTATTGCACGATAATATTGAACCCTGTTCCACATACATTAACACTGCGGTGCTATGTTGCATTCAGGGTCCTGATGGTTGTGGTGTAAAAATAAATTGTTCCTAAGTGAAAGTGAGAGTTTGTCTTGTTTGTCTCTATTAGGCCCCGTGATGGACTTGTCCAGGGTAGATAAACAGCAGCTCCCTGTGACCCGGAAAGAAGCTGGTAAAAGAAACGTTTGGATGGATAACTTGGAGACAAACAGATCTTGTTCATCAACAGGCTAGAAGATAAACAGTTTCATGCTTTCATGGCTGCATGTCGACATGTTTAATCATCTACACTAACTTTTAACAAATGCAACAAACTCGCCTTCAGTTAAGCTCTTTCTTTGGAAAAAAGTTTTTAGTCTAATGATAAAAATATGCAGTTTGCCGCGTTTTAGTCAAATATAAACCATTTTCAGAGGTCATGAAAGCTCCTCTGTTGTTTTCCAGAACAATCTGCTGTGATTCACCCTTTGTAATGATGCTCATCCTTCTCTCCCTTCCCCCCATTTCAAAAACATTTCCACACATCATCTTCTGACATGTCGAAGAATTCCACTTCCATCTTTAACATTTCTGAGTGACCGCTGAGGAAGTTTAGGAGTTTAAGGGTTTTAGGTAAACAGTACTGGTGTGTCCATCTCATCATGTCTTGTCTTGTACAAGTTCATTTATGAATTGAATAGCAAGTCCTAGCATGCAACTTCCTCTCTCCGCCCCCCCTTTCAGTCCCATCTCCCTACAGTATGTGGGTGGCCTTTGAAGCAACTGGCACAAAACCAGCAGCTGCAGAACTCAGAGGGAACACCTAGAGAAAAAGTTAAATAAACAAAAAACTTTCAAATCAAAGTTGTGCAACTAGTGCTTATAAATGCTTTGTTTTGTTTTAAAATTGTACAAATGACATCACTGACAGACAGCATGACTCAGATTGGAAAAACGTGAAGCTAGGAAAGGATTTATCCCTCAATGCTTTTATTTTGAAAGAAAACATGACCGTGCTGCTGAGATACCAGGCAGTTGTTTTCTTTTTCAGAAAACATGTTTATTTTATTCCTGCTGAGCAAGCTTTACTTTACTTTTCATTTACAAAGAAGAAAACTTCCAGCACATGAGGGTAAAAACACATAGCAGTACAAACTCTCTACAACTTTTTATTTTATTATTATTATTATTATTATTATTATTATTATTATTTATCTCAGGCTGAAAAAGACATCTTTAGAGATCTAAGTTTTTACTCACACAGATGGCCAAAGCTCCAGCCCCCATTCTACCACTAAAGAAACTCCAGCAGAGGAGAAAATCTGCTGCTGTCCTCCTTCTTCCTCCTCCTCCCCCTATTCTCCTCACTCTGTTCCAGGACAAACGTTTGAAGCGGATCCAGTGGTGGGAATCTGTCCTCTCTTAATATTTTACCATTTGAACACTTCAAAACCACAACAAAGAGGTTCCAAGCAGGGCGAGAAAGGGAAGAATTTTTGTCAGTACCCGGCAGACCCCAGATTAGTCTCTGCCTTTTCCTCTCTGGTCTCCTCAATGAAACCTGAGTCGAGCTCTCTCATTGGCTATGCGGCCTGGTCATGTGACCGAGGGGCTAAAAATCCTAAACTAGTGGGTATAGGCTACTGCAGGTTTTCTTTGCACTCACCCGAGCGGACAAACTACAATTTTTTTTCTCTGTTATTTTCAGTCACTTGGGCTCTTTCTGTAGGTAAACAACCACATAATGTAGTTGGCATCCAGTCACAGATTTTGCTTCCAAATGTTTTATTTAAGGACACATGAACCAAAAAATATTTTGCAAACTACGTTTATTACTTTACTATTGATTTTGTCTCGTCTTTATGACTTTGTAGTTAGTACCTTCAAAGAACCTAAATTCACACACACAAAAACTATTTTAACATCAATAATTAATATTATTAATGATTAAATCTTGCAAGCTTTCAGCTTAAGACAAGACTTAGATTTGTTGTCTGATCTCCTGAAAAAGTGGCTGAAGTCCAAACAGAAGCTATGAAAGACTTTCAGAAAGCCAGGATAAACACTGATCAGGATTACTTAAAAAAAAACTCTTGCTCTTTGCTGGATAGACAGAAAACACACAAATGATATAAAATCATTAAAACCAGGAAATAAGTAAAAAAATAAACACCTCTGCACAATCCTCAACAAATGCTAGATTGTTATTTAATTTGTATTTAATATGTATTGTATATCTACATTTTGAATTGTTTATTATTTCTTCATATTGATGTATAAAAAACTGATCTCCGTTTAAAAAAGTGCACTTGAGTTGGAGAAGAAAAAACAATGATATTTCTAAACATTAAAATTACAAGTTTTCAAAACAATACTTACAATGTTGGAAAATATTTTCCTTTACATTGTAAATCTTTTCTAAACTGAGCACATAAATTAAGGAAATTTATGTTTGGTAGATTAGTTCTTTGTAGCAACAATATTTCTTGGCATTAAATCTGGCACCTGATTGGCAGCACCTGGAGGTACCTGAAGGTTGAACCAAGAGTCAGTAGCAACAGAAGATAAGCTGTTTGGCAGAAATGTGTTGGCAAAGATTTTGTTTGCAACTCGTACTCAGCTCTACGTATCCCACGAATGCATGTTCCTTAAAATGTTTGATCTACACGAACCACTGAAACCCATGTACAACCTTAACTTTATTGTCACACTCATCCATATGTGTTATATCAGTTTATTTTTCTGGTTCTTCTAACGGATGCACTTAAGATGAAAAAAAAAGAAAAAAGAAAAAAAGCCATTAGTTGTTTTTGTTAGAAAAATGTTTTATCATTATAATCAAAACATAACTCTGTTTCTGAAGATATAAACATGATATAAAACCATAAATGAATAGACTTTAAAAAGCTGTCAACGCAGACTGCCTCACGTTTTCATGTCACCTCGCCCTTTGTTTCATGTTTAAAGTATGTTTAAAGTTAGCCAGTAGATGGCGCCATAATACTTCAAAACATTGAACTACTGTATCCAAATATTAATGTAGTTCAGATCAACATCCTTAAACACAAGTCCTCTGGATGGGTTCTTCTCCTCCAAAAGACTCCTTCAGTCTTCACCTGAAACTCATGAGACTGAAGACGTCTCTTGGAGGAGGGCTGAAATGTTTAATTAAAGAACTCATTCAGAGGACTTAATTATTTTTTTGTTTTTGATTTTTCTACCTGGATTACGGAGATCCATCAGGATATAAACTCTGACATTATTCCATCTTGTTTTTTTTTTGACCAGCCCAGAGAAAAGGTGAAACTATCATCAACAAGTTACAACAGACAGATCACAGTGGAACCATCTGTGCCAAATAGCAGAGATGGTTTAATAGTTGGATTTTGGTTTTCTAAGGTTTAATACCTCTCTTGCCGTCAAATAAATCAAACTAAAAACATGAGTTTCAGTAATTGTTTAATAACACTTTATTAAACACTGCAGCACTTTCAGGACTTTGGACAGTTCCTTCATCCTTTCACACTGTCCAAGGTCCTGAAAAATGCCAGCTCCTTCAGGACCTTGGATAGTTCCTTCGGCATTTCACACTGTCTAAAGTCCTAAAACACTCCAGCACTTTCAAGACCATGGAAAGTTCCTTCATCCCTTCACATTGTTTAAGGTCCTGAAACATGCCAGCTCTTTCAGGACTTTGGACACTTCCTTCATCCCTTCACACTGTTTAAGGTCCTNTTCCTTCATCCCTTCACACTGTTTAAGGTCCTGAAACATGCCAGCTCTTTCAGGACCTGGGACAGTTCTGTCAGCATTTCACACTGTCTAAAGCCCTATAACATTCCAGCACTTTCAGGAACATGGACAGTACTTTCAGCTGTTCACACTGTCCAAAATCTTGAAACATGCCGGTTCTTTCAGGACCTTGGACAGTTCCTTCATCCTTTCTCACTGTTCAAGGTCCTGAAACATGCCAGCTTTTTCAGGACCATGGACAGTTCCTTCAGCCCTTAATCATGTTCAGGGTCCTGAAACATGCCAGCTTTTCAGGACCTGGGACAGTTCCTTCAGCATTTCACACTGTCCACAGGCCTAAAACATTCCAGCACTTTCAGGACCTTGGACAGCTCCTTCAGCCATTCTCACTTTTCAAGGTCCCGAAACATGCCAGCTCTTTCAGGACCTTAGACAGTTCCTTCATCCCTTCACATTGTTTACGGTCCTGAATCGTGTCAGCTCTTTAAGGACCTGGGACAGTTCCTTCAGCATTTGACACTATCTAAAGTCCTAAAACATTACGGCACTTTCAAGACCTTGGACAGCTCCTTCAGCCGTTCATACTGTCCAAGATCCTGAAACATGCCATATATTTCAGGACCTTGGACAGTTCCTTCATCCTTTCTCACTGTTCAAGGTCCTGAAACATGTCAGCTCTTTCAGGACCTTGGACAGTTCCTTCAGCATTTCAGACTGTCCACAGTCCTAAAACATTCCAGCACTTTCAGGACCTTGGACCGCTCCTCCAGCCGTTCTCCCTGTTCAAAGTCCCGAAACATGCCAGCTCTTTCAGGACCTTGGACAGTTCCTTCATCCCTTCACACAGTTTAAGGTCCTGAAACTTGCTAGCTCTTTCAGGACCTGGGACAGTTCCTTCAGCATTTCACTCTGTCTAAAGTCCTAAAACATTCCAGCACTTTCAGGACCCTGGACAGCTTCTTCAGCCGTTCTCACTGTTCAAGGTCCTGAAACATGCTAGCTCTTTCAGGACCTTGGACAGTTCCTTCATCCCTTCACATTGTTTACGGTCCTGAATCATGCCAGCTCTTTAAGGACCTGGGACAGTTCCTTCAGCATTTCACACTTTCTAAAGTCCYAAAACATTGCAGCACTTTCAGGACCTTGGAAAGCTCCTTCAGCCRTTCACACTGACCAAGATCCTGAAACATGCCAGCTTTTTCAGGACCTTGAAAAGTTCCTTCATAATTTCTCACTGTTTAAGGTCCCGAAACATGCCAGCACTTTCAGGATCTTGGACAGTTCCCTTAGCATTTGACACTATCTAAAATCCTAAAATATWGCAGCACTTTCAAGACCTAGGACAGTTCCTTCATCCCTTCACACTGTTTAAGGTCCTGAAACATGCAAGCTCTTTCAGGACCTGGGACAGTTCCTTCAGCATTTCACTCTGTCTAAAGTCCTAAAATTTTCCAGCACTTTCAAGACCTTGGACAGCTCCTTCAGCCTTTCACACTGTCCAAGATCCTGAAACATGCCAGTTCTTTCAGGACCTTGGACAGTTCCTTCATCCTTTCTCACTGTTCAAGGTCGTGAATCATGCCAGCTTTTTCAGGACCTGGGACAGTTCCTTCAGCATTTCACACTGTCCAAAGTCCTAAAACATTCCAGCAATTTCAGGACCTTGCACAGCTCCTTCAGCATTTCACACTGTTTAAGGTCCTGAAACATGCCAGCTCTTTCAGGACCTGGGACAGTTCCTTCAGCATTTCACACTGTCCAAAGTCCTAAAACATTCCAGCAATTTCAGGACCTTGGACAGCTCCTTCAGCATTTCACACTGTTCAAGGTCGCGAAACATGCCAGCTCTTTCAGGACCTTGGACAGTTCCTTCATCCTTTCACACTGTTTAAGGTCCTGAAACATACCAGCTCTTTCAGAAA